AAGCCTTTGCGAAGCTGCTACTTTGTAAAATTTTTCAAAAGGTTTAATTAACTAACACTAGAGTTAGAAATTGATGTGTTTGAAAGCTCTCTCTCAAAATGTCACTGCCCACTAGGCCACTATGCTTTATGTATGTTATCTAGATTGACCATATAATCGTCAAAAACTAAGGGTGCCTTTGCCTGATTACTTTAATTTGTTGGAATTCCAACTATATATATAAAGAAAGAGATTTCCCAAAGCTATGGTTAACTTGGGTTACTTTGTTGAAACAAAATAGCAGCTAAATTGATGGATTAACAATTATATTTACGAATGATTTATGGTATGGAAAGAATTGTTTACATTTAGAATATATGTATAAACACTCCTCTCTTTCTTGTCTTGTTATTTTCTCTATTCTCTCTTTTCTCATTCTTTCTCTTTCTCACTCTTTCCATAATTTGGAACATATAGACATATAGTCATGCGATTCTGTCATTCTGACACGAAGTCATATTAATAGTGTTGTACAGTCTTCCTTGTATCGCAAAAGATACAATATATATATATATATATATATATATATATATATATATATATATATATATATATATATATATAGGGTTGAGTTCAAATGAGGACAACAATATATAGAGAACTGTGAGGACAAATAATGAGCATACAACAAATTAATACCAGACACACAATTTAATACATAATGGCACACAAGAATAAATGTAAACATCAGATTTCGAACGTAGGCTCTATAAATTAAGAAATCTAGTACGCGACATACAAACTGTGGCATACGACTACATTCGGCCATGCACACAACATACCGGCTAATGGCACACACTACATCTTTCCTCACAGTCCTCTATAATATACTTGTCCTCATTTGAATACACACACACACACACACACACACACATATATATATATATATATACATATATATATATATATATACATATATATATATATATGTATATATATATATGTATATATATATGTATATATATATATGTACATATATATATATATGTATATATATATATATATATATATATATATATATATATATATATATATATATATATATATATATATATATATATATATACATATATATATATATATATATATATATATATATATATATATATATATATATAGTGAAAGGTTCCCGTGTGGATGTGCGGTGGATTAATGTGCGTGAGATTTGTACTCAATGTGCGTGAGTGTTGTGCTTAATGTGTCTGAGATTTGTACTTAATGTGCGTGAATGTGAAAGTGCAGCAGAAAATATTGATGTCAGCTTCTTCCCCATCCCTAGTAGCCATTGCCTCCTCCCTGATGATGATGATGCAGAGGCGGGTTATGGTGGTTAAGAATTATGGGAATAATACAACAGAAATCCATACTTAGCTGCTGTGCAAATTCTACTGTGCGTGCGTCATCTATATAAACATTCAACTGCACTGAAGGTAGCTGATAATCCAGAATCCATGGCCAAATTGAAGGAAGAAGTAACAAGAAGCTTGGACGTTTGGTAGGACATATCCCGACCGACACAACTCGGCTTCTCTCGTTCTTTGTGCCAGTTTTACAGGTCAGACATTCTTAAAGGAGTGACGGTCGGACCCGACCGGCGGACTTCCCGACCGAGGATTTTATCACCTGTTCAGTGGGCCTTATCTTACGAAGAGTCAAGGATCTTGAGTAAAGGCACATGGCAGTGTTACACGTTGACAGAGAGGGCTCGCTAGGTGAAGACGCGTGGAGGCTACGCGGGTTACATACCGGTCGGCCGGAGATGTGTCTCCGGCCTAGCGGCTATAAATACCCAAGGCGGCTACAGTGAGGGGGACTTTTGGGCGATCGATAGATTATCTACAGAGCTGCCCGATCGCAGTCAGTCGGCCCTCGGGATAATCATTTAGATTGTATTAGGTCATTCTTAATCAATAAAATATCTTATTTGTTATAACTTGATCTCATTTATGTACTTGGACCGCTTAACACGTGGAATTAGTACTATCATTTTGGCGCCGCCTGTGGGGACCCGGTACGAAAGCTATCGTAGACGAGTACCAGATCCTTCTTATCACCATGTATCCGTTCATGTACCAAGCACTCGACGATGAGCAAGCGGACGCAGCAAGTTCATCCGACCACCAACGTACACAGCATCAAGGTCAAACAGTTGACCTAAACCTCAACCTATCACCACCACGATCGGCGACCCCAAACCCGATCAATTATATTCAGCCGACATATCCGCCGCCTGGGCCACAATATCAATTTCCCGGACAATATCCATATCCAGTTCCACCTCCTCAATATGGGTGTTGACCTGGGACACCGATGTATTATCCACCACCAACCGGTTATCCACAATTTATGTCTGCGTACACGGCTCCAGCTTCTACTCCCCCGATCTACTCGACCATGCCGACCGAGCCGGAGCTTCAGCCCGCTCCCCGGGCTAGGCGCTCGGCTCGTTCGAGGTTGGCTCCACATGTTCAGCCGGAAACACATGCTCAGGTGGCTGAAGACCCTGAGATAGAAGCCAACCGGGCGATGGCATTCTAGCGGCTCCGACCAGCAATGCGGCAAAGATTGGGACCGTAGGATCCAAACAGACGCTCGGTTGATTCGCCCATGCGAGCGGCAAGCCAGGAGGGGTCGTCCGGGCATAGTGGGGCTAAATCGCATCGACGACGCCGGGTTTGGGAACCAGCCCGAATGGACGCACAAGATGAAACCCGAGGAATGCTGTAACACCCCGTGTTACGACCCCTAAAACCAATTAATCATTTAACCAATTATCCAAAGAAAGAATTAAATTACAATAATTAAATTGGAAAAGGCCCACCATAGTCCGTGGGTCCTCTTCTCTAAACCCAACCCCTAGTCCTAAAAGGAATAGAGCTAGCAAGCCTATAGTAATTGGGCCCTAATTAGGACTCTTAGATATATAAATAGGGGACATAAGAGGGACCTAGAACCCCCACCACAATAATCTCTCACCACACAAGAAGTTCCAAGAATTCCCTTAGGAGAAATCAAGAAAGAAGAAAGCTTAAAGAAAGACCCTTCATAGCCAAGGAATTAATTAAGGCTAAGAGGTAACCCATGTCTCAACAAAACCTATTTTCATAGCTATGATTCCCCTCTTAGGATTTCCCCCATATTCTTGTGTGTTGATGATTCGTTATAATGATCTTGATAATTGGTGTTATGATTCCATGGGTGATCTTGATGATAAGAGGTTCTTGATGATTATATGGTGTTCTTGATGTTCTTGATGATTATATGGTGTTCTTGATGTTCTTGATGATTATATGATGTTCTTGATGTTTATATGATATTCCTACCGAATCTTGATATTAGAAGATGAATTGTGTTCTTGTTGATTTAAAAATAATTAGAACCCTAGGTTGTATCGTGGAATTCGTATGGTATTATTCTTGGTATATTGGGTGGGAATTCGTATGTTTGGGTGTTGATTATGTTTAGAAAAGCATGATAGGTTATGTGCCGTATGTTCTTGCTTTTGAATCTGTTAACTGTCTACGTGTTGTTGTCAATTGCGTTTGAAAGTGTCTAAGCATGGTCTCGGGTTCCACAATGGTTCCCGGGGCGTTTTTCTGTGATGAAAGAGTCAGTGGGGGGTAGGTGGGGGTAGGGGACCCGCCACCTACCCGCGGCCAATGTTGGTAACGCCGGGTGACCCCTCACCCACCGGCTACCTGCTGGATTTTACCCTACCTTGGGATTTTGGCTTCCCGTTTGATGTTCCCCCGATCCTCGTGGTGTCCCAACGGACTCCGTCTATCGTGCCTGTGTCTAGTTTGATATTTCGGGTACCGTTCGTAGGTTGTATAAGTCTTATATATTGCATGCTAGTTGAATTGGTATCCCGTTGGCCTAGGTGTAAGGAGTATGAACCCCTTAGGATCACTCTTAGTATGTGGATGATCACGCATAGGTTTCGTTATACGATTTCTCCCCCCTCCCAATGTGCTATTGTGGGCTGCATGTGCTTGCTATGTGTTATGTGTTCATGATACCCCAATTCGGTTGCGATCGAATTGGTTGTTTCTGAGCTGCGGTTCAGAAGCTGGATGCGGTCAGATTTACACTCTTGGGCTGCGGTCCACCATTTGGTTGCGATCAAACGTTTCTACATGAGCTGCGGTTCATATTTCCTGGCTGCGGTCAGATGACATACTCTTGGGCTGCGGTCTACTGTTTGGTTGCGATCAAACTATGATGAGCTGCGGTTCATCGGTCGGTTGCGATCGACCCCTCCGTGTTGCGATACGGGGCAGGGTGTTGCGGGGCCGTGTCAGAGCTATATGCGCTGACCCTCATGTATGGGCATGCGATTGGTCCTATGGCGCCAACAAAGTGTGCTATGTGATGAGATATGGATGATTGGATTGTTATGAAAGCGTGACCATAGGATACATGCTAGTAACTGTATATGCTTGATTATGACTATTGGCTGTGCCTATCTCTATCTGTCGTGTCTGTTCCCTACACCTGTGAATTGTGCATGCTTGGTTATGACTGTTGGTTGTGCTTATCCCTATTTGTCGAGTCTATTCCCTGTTTTGAAAGCTAGAGTCTCTTAGGATATATCTTCATGCTTCGAAATGGTTTTCGTATATCTATGTATATATCTATATGTATTGTATTTCAACGCGTTGGAGTGGGTTACCAGCATCTCTCGCTGAACAGATATATTTGGCTTTCAGGCACAGAAGAGTAGACTCTGGAGCGCGCTAGAATCGTGGAACGTAGAAGTAGACAGTTTTCCCTTTCGGCCTGCGTGCCATGCTTATGCTTTTACTTTGTTGAGGATATTAGTTAGTTAGCCTGTGCACCTGAGTTCTCTAACTCAGGTGTGGCATAGCACCCTGTACTGTTTATATTATGTTTTGGGATTTAATGAGAACTTGCCTTTATCATATAAGTTTCAAAAGTTTAAAAATTTCGGGGTGTTACAAATGCTGAATGAACTCCGGGCAGAATTCACTCGCTGGCAGAACGAGCACGCTGTAAGGCCTCTTACTGATCATACAGCCTCGTTCATGAGGACACCCTTCACGGCGGAGATTATGGCTCAGCCTTACCCGCTCAATTTGCACATCCTCGGGAATAAGGAATATGATGGGCGAACAGACCCAGAAGTTCATGTCAATACATACTATGGCAACATGTTGATGATGGGCGTATCTGACGCCGTGATGTGCAGAGCTTTCTATTCCACGCTCACTGGTCGAGCGGCGGAATGGTTCAGGACATTGCAACCAGGCTCTATCTCTGATTTGCCAGTTTGGCTATGAAGTTCAACCGAAAGTTTGTAACCTCCAAGGTTATCCAGAAGCCTTACATGTATCTCGAGAAGGCTAAACAGTTAGAGGGGGAAAGCTTGACCGAATTCCTAGTCAAGTGGAAGGCGGCGGTCGGGGAGGTCGAGCCGATAGACGACTTGACGGCCATTCACATGCTGCACATTTCTCTTCGAGCTGGTTATTTGTACCAGGATTTTATACTCCATCCGCCTGCTACTTATGAAGAAGCCCTCCGTAGAGTGACAGACTATGCCAACGCCGGTGAGGCAAATGCCGTCAAGAGGTCACAAGAGGTCGGCACATCATCCCGAAAGCCTTCCGGTCGGGCGTCGGTCGGTTGAAGATCATCCCCGACCTCGAACCCGACCGAGAGAGTTCACGGCGTTAAACCGATCTGCGGCGGAGGCCATGCAATATGCCCAGTCCTGCAATCTTATTCGTCTACCCCATCCGGGATCGGATGGGCCGGATAAGTCAAAACATTGCGCGTATCATCGGTGTGCTAGGCATGACACTGAGGAGTGCATGCATTTAAAACAGCTGTTGGAAGATTTACTTCAGTTCGGAAAGTTGGACAAATGTTTCGGCAAGAGAGAAGAGAACAAACGAGTGGGCGAGAGAAAAGATCATAGGCGAACCCATCATCGCTCTGACCGGAAAGATCAGGATCGACGAGATCCCGATCCACCATCGAGTAGCCGACCAACATCCAAACTGGCCATCCATGTTATATTTGGAGGTTTGGAAGATGCTTCCCAGGCTCGGGAAAGTTGCCCGGTCGCGATCGTCGACTCCCGGGAAACCGGTAAGAGGCAGAAGATGGAGCCAATTACCTTCTCTCTTGAAGACCAGCCGGAAAGCGGAGACAATGGGATGGAAGCTCTTGTTGCCACAATTGACATCATGGGGACCGATGTCCAGAGAGTGATGGTGGACACCGGGAGCAGTGTGAACGTCCTTTATTTGGACGTGTTTGAGAAGCTAAAGTTGGACAAGCGAGAGCTGATTCCGGTCGGCGTGCCTTTGTCAGGATTTACCGGGGCTACCATACGCCCCGAGAGAAAGATCGTGCTCCTGGTCGAGCTTGGAACCCCACCAAAGCCAGTAAAGACGGAGTTAGAATTTGTTGTGGTCAACCTCCATTGCGTCCACAATGTTATTTTGGGCCGACCGGCTATTATGAGGGTCGGCGGAATCATTTCGTTGCCTCATTTATGCATGAAATTCTCAACCCCGGCCGATGTCAGAGTTTTACGAGGTGACGTGCAATCGGCGAGAAAATGTTATTCCCGGGCCGTCAATCGGCGTGATGCTGGTTCTTCCCGAGTGAACACTATCGTCAAGGAAGCCGTCAAAGACCGGAAGGAACAACCCGATCCCTCTGAGGAAATAGAGGAGGTTCCTTTGTCTGAGGAATGACCGAAGAGGAAGATAAAGATCGGTCGGGCCCTCACCCCTGAATTACGACTGGAAGTGTTGGCGATCCTTCGGGAATTCGCTGATATATTTGCATGGGGGCCTGAAGATATGCCCGGGATTGATCGAACTGTAATCTGCCACAAGTTAGCTGTAGATCCCGTGGCAAAACCGGTCGTTCAGAAGACTCGGCATTTATCCTCCGATCGCCGAGAGTTCGTTCGAGGGGAGGCGAAGAAAATGGCTGCAATTGGGCACATCCGCCCGATCACTTATCCCGAGTGGGTAGCCAACATTGTACTCGTTCCAAAGCCTCCGTCCTGGAGGATGTGCATTGACTTCACCGACTTGAACAAAGCATGCTCGCTAGATCCTTACCCGTTGCCGAGCATCCATCAGATGGTTGACGAAACGGCCGGGGCTGAGCTGATGAGCTTCATGGATGCTTTCAAAGGTTATCATCAAATCATGATGAACCATGAAGATGAGAGTAAGACGGCCTTTGTCACACCTGACGGGTTGTATTGCTACTAGACCTGGCAATTATGTATACGACCTGTTAACACGACACAAAACCGGATACGAAAATAACGGGTTAGTGTTTAGCCTTAACGTGTCTCGGGTTGTTAAGGGGTTGACCCGTTAAGGACCCGTTATGTTTCGTGTCTTAACGGGTCAACCCGTTAAACCTATTAAGAACCCGTTAATATTATCTTGTTAACCCGTTAACACGAACCCGTTTACCAAACCTGTTTATAACCCGCTAAGAATTATTGTCATTTATGTATGAACCATTGTCATTATTGAGATTACAAAAGATATTAGGTACAGGACTAAGGATGAATTTATTACATTAGGCCAACATCCTACACCAATTTGACTCGTTAAGGACCCGTTATGTTTCGTGTCTTAACGGGTCAACCCGTTAAACCTATTAAGAACCCGTTTAAGCCAGATGAATTTATTACATTAGGCCAACATACATAAATTATTAATGTTCAACAGTTTAAATTTTGATTGTGTTCAATTTTATTCTAAAAACTTTTATGGACTTCTTTAATTATGATTTTTGGATGTTATTTTATCATGTTATGAATGTTATGAATTGAATACTTTTTAGTTTGTTTGATGAATTAAACTGTAGGTTTTATTTATTTATTATATATATATATATATATATATATATATATATATACATATATATATATAGAACTTAACTTTAAATTTTAGTTTTTAAAATATATTAACAGAAATAGTGGGTTTAAACGGGTTTCGTGTCATATCGTGTCGACACGACTTGAAACTTGTTAACAAAACGTGTTTATCGTGTCAACCAGTTTAACCCGTTAACAAATCGTGTTCGTGTTCGTGTTAAAAATTTGAACCCGTTAACCATAACGTGTCGTGTTCGTGTTTAGCCTTATCGTGTTCGTATCGTTATCGTGTCGACCCGTTAACGGACCCATATACACAAATTGACAGGTCTAATTGCTACCGGGTTATGCCGTTCGGTCTCCGAAATGCAGGAGCGACTTATCAGCGAATGATCAATATGCTCTTTGAGGACCTGCTAGGCCGAACGATGGAAGCTTATATTGACGACATGCTGGTGAAGATTCGGGACCGAGCAGATCATACCCGAGATCTTCAACAGTGCTTTCAAATCATGCGGAAATACCAGCTACGTTTGAATCTCAACAAGTGCACGTTTGCTGTGCAAACGGGAAAATTCCTTGGCTACATGATGACGAAAAGAGGAATCGAGCCCAACCCCGCCAAGGTCAAAGCAATTCTTGACATGTCGCCGCCCACGACCGTTCGGGAGGTGCAACAACTGACTGGGAGGTTGGCAGCACTGAGTCTGTTTCTTTCAAAATTGGCCGAGCGCGCTTTACCGTTCTTTAAGGTATTGCGAAAGGTCAATGGGTTCGTATGGGATGATGAATGCCGAGCGGATTTTGATGAGCTGAAAGAGTATCTGATGTCGCCGATCATCTTATCAAAGCCCGAGCTCGGGGAAGAGTTAGACGTCTATTTAGCCGTTTCCGATCGAGATGTCAGTGCGGTATTATGCCGAACAGATTCGGAGGGGTTGCAGCGATCGATTTACTATGTGAGCCACGCGCTCCATGGTCCCGAGCTCCGTTACTCCCGGCTGGAAAAGATAGTCTACGCCTTGTATACAGCAGCGAAGAAGTTGGGCCCCTATTTTCAAGGTCGAGCCATTCACGTATTAACCGATCAGCCAATCGGGGCAGTTCTCCGTACCGCTTCTTCTTCTGGACGTCTGGTCAAATGGGCATTGATGTTGACACAATATGCCATAGAATATCAATCAAGACCAGCTATCAAGGGCCAAGCGTTGGCCGACTTCTTGGTTGAATGTACTGCTCGGGGAAACCCGACCTCCGGAGGTGGAGGATCCTGAGGCAGCGTGGTGGTCGTTGGCCATCGATGGGTCGAGTAGTAGGAAAGGAGCCGGCGGAGGAGTCGTGATAACGAGCCCGGAGGGCTTCAAAGTTTACTATTCCTTGATGTATCAATTCAACCCGACCAACAATGAAGCCGAGTATGAAGCCTTTGTCAATGGATTGCAATGTGCTCGGGATCTGGGGGCTGAGTACATCCGGGCGCAAACCGACTCTGCATTGGTGGTCGGGTAAGTCTTGGGCAATTATGAGGTTAACGGGGAACAGCTACAAGCTTATCGGGATCTAGCCATGGAGAAGCTCAGCTTATTCCGGGCGTACACCGTCCGTCATGTTCCTCGACTAGATAATGCCGATGCAGACATCTTATCCAAGTTGGCGCAGGATGCCCCTGAGCATATGTCGAAGATCGCTCGGATTTTGATGATTCCGAGACACAGTATTCACCGCTTGCCGGTCGCACCGATCCAACCGGCTGAGGAAACATGGATCTCTGATTTAATGGAGTATCTTCAACATGGTCGTTTATCGGATGATCCATAACGCGCTCGAAAGGTGAAGTTAAGGGCTCCGAGATTTCAAGTCCAAGACGATCGTTTGTATAGACGGTCGTATGGGGGTCCTTTGCAGAGGTGTTTGAATTCTTTTGAAGCTGATTTAGTAATGAATGAGTTGCACTCAGGCATATGTTCATCTCATCAAGTAGGCCGATCGCTTGCCCGGCGTATCATGGTGATCGGTTACTACTGGCCGTCCATTCAGCTTGATTGCGAAAAGCTCGCTAAGAGTTGTGAAACATGCCAGTTATACGCCTGGATGCCTGGCCGTCCGACCACGTTTTACCAGCCGGTCACAACCGTGATTCCTTTTGCTCGGTGGGGGGTAGACATCTTGGGACCTTTTCCGCAGTTATCCGGTCGAAGGCGCTTTGTCATTGTGGCCATTGATTATTTCTCCAAGTGGATCTAGGCCGAGCCTTTAGCCACGATCACTTCTCAACAGTGCGCCAGGTTTTTATGGCGGAATGTAAATTTCCCGGTTCGGTGTGCCAGTTCATCTGATCAGTGACAACGGTCGACAATTCGTGAGCCAATATTTTCAAAATTTCTTGGCAACGATCGGGACAACCTCAATCCGATCGTCGGTGGCTTACCCGCAAGGCAATGAGCAAGTAGAGAACGCCAACCGAACAATCTTGGAGGGTTTGAGGAAAAAGTTGCACTCAACCGATCGTAGCTGGGCTGACAAGCTCCCATACGTGCTCTGGACGTATCGCACGACCCCTAGAGAGGCAACGTTGGAAATGCCGTTCGCTTTAGTTTATGGCGCTGAAGCACGGTTACCGATTGAAGCATGGATCCCGACCGCCAGAGAGCGATCTTATAATGCGGAAGAGAATGAACACTCTATGGTCGTGGATCTAGACGGCGTTGAAGAGAAGAGGGAGATTGCGGCTCGGCGCATGGCCGAGTGCCAGAAGAGGGTCAAAAGAACGAAAGATGTCCGGGTCAACCCACGATATTTTCAAGTCGGAGACTATGTGTTACGACGTCGAGAAGCGAGCCAGCCGTTAGAAGGAGGTAAGCTGGCCCAAAATTGGGAAGACCCTTATGTAATCACGGCCGTAGTTCGTCCAGGCACTTACCGGTTGGAGACAACGACCGGGAGAGTGATAGAGGGGACATGGAACTCAGAAAATCTGGTTTTATTTCGACATTAATGTCGTCTTGTAATTTTGGATGGGGTGGGGGCTCCACCTGCGAGGGGACACGCTCATCTTTGGTTGTATATATACAATATGTATTACTATGTCCGTCTGCGAACGGGAATAAATTTGTAATGTCGATCGATGATTGCTTGCTCGTCTGTGCACGGCGACTCGACCGACTACCAACATATTCACATAGCAAGTAGTTTGGTTAAATTCCAAGTTATTCGGTTCGTGACTTCATCTGATCAAGATTCGGCGTCAACGATCAAGTCGGGCGGTAGCCCGGTCGGGCGAAAGCCCAACGACCACAATGTCGCTAAAACTTGCCCGAGTATACCGGGATTAAAAAATTCGGTTATAGCCGATATAGGTTTACCTCTCCCTCGGGAACGACCGATAGGGGTAAAAGCCTCGAGGATTTTAACATCCTCTACATTTCATTCGGGCGGATTTTAATGTCCAAAGTAAAACGCTCATCTTCGGCGGACGGTTGTGTCACGCCATCGCTCGGGAAAACAGGCCACCCGGGAGAGCATAGCCCGATCAACCTTCCTTGACTACTCTCGTACTCATTCGTTCCTCATGTGTTAGACATTGGGGGCTAAGGAGAGTAACTAGGTTGATCGCAAAATGAACGGTCGAGTGATCGTAAAAATTAAAAACATTCACATCGGCCAAAGTATAAGAGAAGCAAAAAGTTCGTTCATTCATAATTCAAAAGTTGCCCGGCACAAACGGGACCGGGCTCCCGATTGAACAAAGTTTAAACAAAAGTAAATTTACAAAACTGGTCGGACACTACACGACCTTTTCTACGGCCTTCTCGCCGGTGCTGGGCTCGGCCGTAGTCTCAGGGGCAGAGG